GTCACCACGCACACACATACACACACACACACACACACACACACACACACACACACACACACACACACACACACACACGCACACACACCACACATACCCCCCCCCCCCACACACACACACGTACACATACACATACACACACATACGCACACACACTTACACAGAAACACACACTCGCGCGCGCACACACACACATACACACACACACACACACACACACACACACACACACACACACACACACACACACACACACACACATACACAAATTTATTTCGGATCCAGGGAGAGACCTCATACCGGAATATTCGCTATTCCATGGGATTCTTCCCCCGACCTACCTGAACTCATTTACTATCTGTCTCTTTCCAGTACTTCTGACCTCCATCAACTACTGTGGAGTCAAGTACGCGGCACGAGTCCAGGTTATCTTCACCGTAGCAAAGATCCTAGCCCTCGCCATTATCATTGTAGGAGGAATAGTGAATCTATTTAAAGGTCATTAGCATCTACGCTGAACTGTTTAGTTTTCCAGCGAGATGATAGCTGCGGGGGTGGATCAGATTAAAGATTTACTTTTTATTAAAAGAACATTTATATAATATATTAGCAGCATTTAACAATGGATTAGAGATTAAGACGCAAGTAATCTTTCTGTCACCAGCAGATGTGTTTTTTTAGTATACCGATTCAAATAATGTGTTGCAAGCAATGTGGGAAGAGTACGCCATCTAGCAACTTATTTTTATTTATATACGCGCGCGTCCGCGAGTACATGCGTGCTGACGCGTGTGTCTATATGTGTGTGTGTGTGTGTGTGTGTGTGTGTGTCGAGTTTCCACATAAAACGCATTATTACTGAGTTGTAACTGCAATGCACCACACGCGGGCAGCACCAAATTTCCCTCTCAATAACCTTCACTAACCCTAATACACTCTACTACTCACCTAGCTAGCCAATTCTAATTTTTCTGGATTTGGCCTAATAATCTCAACATGTCACAAGGGTTGTTGAGCGACCGGACCTGGGTGTGTTGGGTGTGTTGTGTTTGTGATGTGTTGTGTTTGTGTTAGTGACAGTGTGTTTGTGTGACAAGTGGTGGTAGAGCTCAGTGTGTGTGTAGATGATAGGTGTGATGTGTTGTGTGAAAAGAGGCAAGAGGAAGAGGAAGAGAAAGGGTGGTGTGGTGTGAGTGTGGATGCAAGGCCGCCGGAGGAGCGAGGCAGGAGGAGGAGTAGCTGTGTCGTGAGTGGTAGGAGGAGAAGCGTGGAGGGAGCGAGGAGTGTGTAGGGTGTGTGTGTGTGCTGTGAGGAGGAGTAGTGTAGTGCTGGTAGTGCGTCTATGATAGTCGCTCAGTAATGTCCTGTCGTGAAATGATGTGATGCTGTGGTGAAAAATAATGTGTGATTTGTCGAAGCATCAGTATACGTATGTGCTCGTCCTCGTGTGTGGCGCGCTTATACGATCTCAATACATTCTAGTTACTCGAGAGATCGAGGTGCCCTGATCTCTGTAGTCGTGTCGTTTGTGACCATGTGTCACCATTGATTCGATGTGTATTCTCCAAGCAGCCTCACTGTGTGATCTTTTAGGTCAGATGGAATGTGTGTGTGTGGTGTGGTGTGTGATGTTTGGGTAAGTGAGATAAAAGTAACACTGTGTGTGGCAACGTTCGGCTTCCTATTTAGTGATTGGTGTGATAGATGTGTGTGTATTTGCGTACACCTGTCTAATTCTGTTCCATTCTAATGGCTATAGGGTAGCCACCTTTGTGGTTTTGCACCGCATTGCTGTTTTTGTTAGTAATTAAAACCGACCGCACTTGGCAAGCATATCGTTATATAAATATATACTCATATAATACTATATACTATAATATATCATATATAATATATATAACGAGGACTATCGCCAACCCGGTCTCACCGGCTATGCCCGGTGCGACATTCGCTAGTTCCCCGGGCAACGTTAAGAACGTCAAGAAAGTCGCGACCTGTCGCAACAATTTTTTCAGCCATATTTAAAAATTTACATCAAATTACTAATTTGCCGTGGTTGTCGATAAGGCACAAATGCTATACTTTTATGGTTATTTTACCATGCTCATGTGTGTCGTGCGTCTTGTTATACTTGTGTTATACTGTATACAAACACATGTCGGCAGCCCTGTGCCCGCCACAACTTTGTTCCTGTTTTTGCGGCACCAGTGGCTGTAGATAGAGACTGTGGGTGATGCCCGACCATTATCACAACAGTGATCACTTCCTTGATTTTAACCCAACTTGCGGGACCTCTGACTAGTATACTATATATATATATATATATATATATTATATATATATATATATGTTAGTGATAATACCATTTTTCAAGTTTCACTAGGTGGTGTAGTATGTGTGTATTGTTCGTGTGTGTTTAGTGGTGTGTGTAATTATGCGAATGAGAAGGTGTCATGTTGGTTCATCAGTAGTTGATGTGATTCGATACAATGATACGTAG